ACATGCAATACATACCTGCATAAATTGAAAAGATTCTCCATATGGAGTCAGAACAAACAATACTACACCACTGTCGCTAGTGCTAGAATATCTCTTAGAACTAAAGAACTCAGGACTGTCCACAAGTTCTAGTAAAGTACATCTCACGGTGATCACCACTTTTCATCATAAAATCGATGGATTCTCGGTATTTGCACACCTGACCACCAAGCAGTTTCTCACTGGCATACAGAATCTCTACCCAGAAGTATACCAACCCACACCACTTGGGACTTAAACCCAGTTCTCAAAGGCCTTACTAGACCATCCTTTGAGCTGCTGGCCACTTGTTCCTGGGATGTTAAGGTGGCATTCTTGGTGGCTATCACCTCCGCTAGACGAGTGAGTGAGATTGTTGCATTAATGGCTAATCCACCATACACTGTCTTCTTTAAAGACAAGATCACATTGCAACCTCACCCAAAGTTCCTCCCCAAAATAGCTTCAACTTTCCATATCAACCAACCTATTCATCTCACCACATTGTACCCCAAACTGCACAGAAACACACAGGAGCCATGTTACACACTCTAGATGTTTGACCAGAATAGAACAAAATCTTTCCGCAAATCCCCAAGACTCTTCTTCTTGACAACAGAACAATCCAAGGGCTCCGCTATATCCTCTCAGAGACTATCTAAGTGGATCTCGAGCTGCATCCAACTATGTTATCAAACAGATAAGACAGAGCCACCAATGGGGATCAGGTCCCATTCTGTGTGTTCCATGGCAGCATCTATACCATTTCTGAACAATGTACTGTGATGTTACACCCCATATTCTTTATAGAAACATGCTTATGATATGAATATGGCATAACTAAGATTTATTTGATGCAAGATGGGTCTTGTGAAATATCATTGGAAAATTTACTGAATCTGATTATCCAATTTGTATGCATGTATCATTTATGTATCTGAAGTTAGGAATATTGACTATGTAACAATTACAACTGTGTGTGTACTTGGGGAACACCCACCAGACAGAATGCAATCAGCCTGAATGGGCCATTAGGAAAGCCAATGGGTCTTTGAAAATGCTGACTTCCCATCTTCCTGGAGTTCCTTCCTGTGGATATTACAAATAAACCTTGTCTCATGGTTGCTTTGACACTGTAAGGTCATGTGATCATGTCACCTGGTACAGGACACCATCCTGAGCTGGTATTTTTCCACTGAAGGGGGGGGGGGCAAACAGGGAAACAAAAGATTCACGCCATATGTAAATCCTGCTTAAGGCTGGAGAGTGAGTTAATCAAGGTTGCCGGTTCTTCACTGAATCCCCGTCCAGGATGACTGCTGTAAACACCTAAGGGTATGTGTACACCCAGCCGCTAGTTCGGCTGCTGGCAATCGAAGTTCTGGGTTCGACTTATCGCGTCTTGTCTGGACGCGATAAGTCGAACCAGGAAGTGCTCGCCGTCGACTGCGGTACTCCAGCTAGACGAGAGGAGTACCGCGGAGTCGACGGGGGAGCCTGCCTGCCGCGTGTGGACCGAGGTAAGTTCGAACTAAGGTACTTCGAACTTCAGCTACGTTATTCACGTAGCTGAAGTTGCGTACCTTAGTTCGATTTGGGGGTTTAGTGTAGACCAAGCCTAAGACTGATCTGGGGAGAAAGGACTGGGACCCAGGCTGATTCATGGGTCTAGCCTATGAAGAGAAATACCTGAAACTCAAAGCTGCAGAAACTCTGCATGAAGTTCTTTGCAGTAAAAGTGTATCTCTTGCACCATAACTCTGAAATTCTCTGTCTTTGGACATTAGGGAGATTGCTTTCATCAACTCACTTATAGCCTAAAACAACATTTAGGGTGAGAAATTACTATTTGTAACCAGTTTCTTTAGTGAATTAAGCTTAGGATGTGTGTTTGTTTATTTTGCTCAGTGATCTGCTTTGTTCTGTTTGCTATCCCTTATTATCACTTAAAATTCATCCTTTGTAGTTAATAAACTTGTTTTGTTTTCTAAAACCCAGTTTGTGCAATTCATAACTACGGGGGGTGGGGGGGATGGCAAAGAGCTGTGTATATCTTCCTCCACAGTGAGGGAGGGGGCGATTTTCATGAGTTTACGCTATATAGATCTCTATAAAGTGCAATACAATATAATTTTGGGTTTACATACCAAAGGGTGTGTGCACAGGAGTGCTGGGCAATCCCCTAGCTGAGTCCTCCCACACAGAGCTGATTGCAGACTCTGGGGGTGTGATTCTAGAGTTGGGTGTGTCCCTACTTGTGTGTGTGCTGGAAAGGAGCTTGAGAACCTGTCACAACAGCACAGGATAGGGGGAGCCCAGGCTGGTGGGACAGGCTGGCTAGGTGGGACCTCAGCACATCCAGTGGCACCCCGAAAAGGGGGTCCACCCCATCACATATCTCAGAGATCTGCAGAGCTGCTACATGGGCCTCAGAACATACGTTCATTTACTAGTAAACAATTACACAGGACTCACGAGCTGATGCCATGCTGGGTCTAACAGTCCTCTCCTCCACTATGCATGTAACTCCAAAGTCCCCCCAACCATAGTGGACACTGTTCTACAATCACCTGAAGTGGAGCACCCACAAGGACAGCACTCGAAGAAGAAGAGAGGGTTACTCACCTGGTGCAGTAACTGAGGTTCTTCGAGATGTGTGTCCCTGTGGGTGCTTCACTACCCACCCTTCTCCCCTCTACTTTGGACTTTGATACAAGGACTCTATAGTAGAGAAGGAACTAAAGGAGTCGGGCTGTGTGCGCGCTAGATGAGACTCCAACAGTGCAGTGAGACAGCTACTGTGCACGCGTGTCCCGACCGAACACTGCTACCGAAAATCTCCAATCAATGGTGCTCGGACATACCAGCACCTGAAGTGGAGCACCCACAGGGACACACATCTCAAAGAACTTCAGTTACTGCACAAGTGAGTAACTCTCTTTCTTTTTTTTCTTTTTCTTCTTTCTTACTATAACTAACTTGCATTTCAAAAGGAAAAGCAGTTTCAACCGGGAAAAATGGATTTTTTTTCATTTAAAAAAATGTTAGAACAAAACGTTTTGACAATTTTGAAACTTAGTTTTTCAACTTGAAAAACATTGTTGAAACTGACTCTTCCCCATGAATGGTTTCAACAAATCAGCATTTTTTGATGAAAAAATATTTTGTCAGAAAATTCCCAACCAGCTCTGCTGACCACAGCGAGTAATAAAGGGAGCTCTTAGTAGCTAGCTGCCCATTGTATGGATTTTTGCTGTTTCTAATGTTGTAAATGGCTTGGACGGACACAGTTTATATTGGATGACATGTTGGTTTTTTATGCTTCTCCTCACCCATTGCATTAAACAAACTATGTTTGGGTGGTTTATGTATAATGTATACATTTATATGAAGTTCTTTGCAGTAAAAGTGTTTCTCTTGCACCATAACTGAAATTCTCTGTCCTTGGACATTAGGGAGATTGCTTCCATCAGCTCACTTATAGTCAAGTAAAAGCTTTATTGTCTAAAGTGCACGTCACTGTGGGGAAGCTATGGCCATTTGAGCAATGCCCTGAGTACAGGTTTGTGCATCACCACACTGTCTCAGTGGGGGTTGAGGGAGGTACTGTGCCTCTCTGAGACACACAGTCCCTCCCTAAGATCGCTCTTGCTCAAGGGGAGGGTGCATCCTGCTCCTCCCAGCCAGCTTTGGGAGCCAGTATGGAGGGAGGAAGGGGCATGGCTTACCCCCTTATTATCCCCTTTTAGGTAGTTTGTGCCCCTGGATGCAGCAGTTCCACAGTGAAGGGATTGTAATTGATCCTGGCCCTTGCATGAAGTGGTAATGGGGACAAACTCCTTGCTTCTCCCTTTGCCCTCTCTACCTGAGGGCCAGGAGAGTCTGTTGTTTAATCCTTCTGGGGGTGTTTTATATGGTACAAAAGGAACTAGAGAAATTAAGTTTGTCTGTTTAAATTGTTAGCTCATCTACCTGATGGGGAACGTGTCTCATTCCTTTTCCCCACTCTTTTAGCATAGTTGCTCTTTTTTTCCAAGGTGCTAGTTAACAACTGAAACACAACCAAACTTAAAACTTGGTTTGCCCAGCCAATACGAATGGGGCCAGATCAAGTTATAAAGTGCTTTTGCCCATGTAGGGTTTAACCTAAAGGGTTGGGTACAACCATGTTTAATCAATCATGGCTATTTTTGTGACGTAGATGTAGCTGACAGCTCATTGTTTCACTCTACATACCATTCTGGCCTAGTAGATCCACTGGCCAACTACTGCCATTCTTCTTTGCCTGCCCACAGCCCTCCTCCTCCTCTGGAGAGAGCTGCATATCAGCATCATTCGGGGGGCTGCAAAATCCCTTTACTTACCACTTCTGCTTTCCATCTCCTTTGTGCAGCAGAAACATTGCATTTTTGTTATCTGTAGGGGCCATCCATGGCTACACAGACGGACTGCAGGATTTGATCCATGGTTTTTAATATCCAGGAACTTGAGTTGATAGTAACAATCAATATTAGATCATAAGAATGATATGAAAATTTGCTATACAAATAAACTGAGTGAATCAATATAAAAGACTTAACTAAGTCAGTGGTAATGGGACAGGTGCAATTATCATTCCATGTTAGTTTTCTGTTTGTTTAATCTTCGCAGGCACGTTGTTTTGTAGAAACAATTAATATTAATTGCATAAAGCTGTCATAAGCATTTTTATGATTTACAGTGGTGTATATTAAATGAACAGGTCAAATTATGTTGCAGCCTAGTGGAGGTGGCTCAAGATTTAATTGTTCCTAGTTAACCAACAAGTTAAAATAAAACCTTTATTACAGGAGGTGCTACATCTCTGAATATTGCTTGCAATTCTGTTTTATCTTATTCTCTGTGTATGTTCTCCGATTTTTTTTTTTAATATTAAAGCTTACCAATGTAGAAGGCTCTTTTAAAGGAAAGTTTAACACTCATTATGTACTTCATTTTTGTAGGTGCTGCCGCATGATAGCAAAGCACGACGTCTCTTTGTAACAAGTGGTGGACTTAAAAAAGTTCAAGAGATAAAAGCAGAGCCGGGGTCACTTCTTCAAGAGTACATCAACACTATTAACAACTGTTACCCAGAGGAAATAGTAAGGTGAGGAAATTGGAGTCCTAGTAATTCATAGTTGTTACATTGTTAGATTGTCTTCAAAGCACAAAATGAGAGATTTAAAATATAATTTAAGGTCTGTGTGAATGCCCTTTTAAAATTAATGACCATCTTTGGTTATCAGCCCGAAAGAGTAGTTGGACGAACACAGAATTAGACAGATACTTTCTTGTCTTTCTGAACGCTTTATTATTATCTTTTTAAAATTGCTTCTCAGGTTCAAATTTACCTCTTGCTAAACAAAGCCCAAGATTGCCCTTTTGCAGGGAACTAAGTGGGAGTTGGGGAATAGAATTAACTCCCAAATCCACCTGGCAGGCTCTGGGGCTGCAACACCACCCTTCTGGATGCCATGTCAATTTGTAAGCTGCAGTAGCAGTCTCTGCCCCATACATGGGGTATTCAGGCCATGGAATCCAGGTAATGTATCTTTTGGTGCCTCCTCTAACTTCCCCTTGGCTTCCCCAACACCGTTCTCTGAGCTAACCTGTTCCGAGGCTTCACTGAAACTTCCTGCAGTGTACCAGGGTGCAGAGAGCCTCCTGATCTCTTGCTCCAGCCACAGCTGCTCCTTCCCTGAACCTCCTCATGAGGCTTAAGTGTTATATAAAGGACCATGTCTGCACCAAGGTGAGTTTTGCTCTTAATGAATACAGAAATACTGTTAAATAGCTGGCACTTAAAATGTCACCAACCTCAACTTATAATAAGGAGGGAAATCTCCTCCTGAATTCTAGATACCCATTTACCAATTCTTCACTTCAGCAATACACTCATGGGGATGTTGTACTGTTGCACTCTCCGTACTGGTTCTTTGCATCAGCATCATCCTGTTTGCTTCTGCAAGGAAAAACTCAGTGACTGTCAAAGGGGTGAAGAATCGTCAAGACATTTTCAAGCTATGAAGAGTAACAGTACAGAATTTAAAGAAGACATTTGTTTACATTTTTTGGCTGTACTTCATGTTTGCTTTTGCTACAAACTACTTTTTTTGTTAGGGGAAGCAAAGAAACATGCCATTGGTGTAATGAAGAAAATGTGCCCTTTAAGTTCCTCCCCCTGTCTCTTTGTGCAGTAGAACCATGCTGGTTCCACTGCCTGGGGCACTTCTGCTGCTCCAGATGTCAGGGCTGGATTTGTCCTGTAAAGCTGCTGTTTCAGGCTGTCTGTCTGCAGATTCAGGAAGACAACTGCATTAGTTTGAATTTGGAAAGTTATTTTCACAAAAGCTAATAATGGATTTACAAAACAACTATATCAAATTTAAAATTCTGTAGAAAAATCAGTGAGGAGAATGGAGCAAACAGAAATTCTACGCATTATTAACCCCCTCTGTGCTAGCATTTGGGATTTCTCATTGAACACGTTTCAATTATAACAAACCTTACTCCTGTCTCCTTGTAGTTAAGACTTTCAGTGTTCTGAGATGTGCAGCATACATCTGCAACAATGGCTCTGTACGGATCTTTAAACATACAGTATTACTGTGTTTTCTTAGGAACATGCACAGTAATACAAGTCTCATATATTATGCTGATGGGTATGGTATAAAAACCTAGACAGATAGCTAGCAGTGCAAGACTTCAGTATTATGTAGATTGAAGGCTCTTTCTGGTATAGCACTGAAGTGATTTTGCTTATACAACTAGTGTGCATGCCTCCACTCTTAACTTTTAGAATTAAGAATAAATATAGCTAGCCTATTGGGCATAAATTGATAATGTCTGTATTCAAACCTTATTTGTTGTTCTCGGATAATATGATTTGGAAGTTTTGAGGTATGTACAGCTATTCCTATTGTTGATTTTGAAACTTCATCCACCTCTCTTAAGTCTGATATTCATCTAACATCAAGAACGCAGGACGTGGTTTTTGTAAGCTTTGGTGGCTTGTAAAAAAGGGAGCAACTTGAGTGTTGTAAATTCCTCAATGCAAAGTCTTCAAAGAATCACACTGACAAAGGAAATTCTCCAGAAATTTCTCAAGGGAGAGAGACTTTGACCATGGTTGTTTCTAAGTAAAACATTGGAAAAATTTAATGTCGTTTTTCTTGGTCTTATCTTGCCACATTGGAATAGAAACAAACTAGTCCAGCATAAAAAAATCAGTATGCAATGGACTTTCAAAAGCCTTTGTTAGGACTTTTTATTTGTGGGTAAATAAAGGATAAAATTCTCCCTTGGACCCTATAGGTTAACAGAATTAATAATTACTTTAGGTGTCTTTAGGAGATTTCACCCCACAGATACAGGTTTTTAAAAATTCCATGAATGATTTACCAAGTCAATGATCCTTTGTAGTTTTCAGTTTTTGTAGGTCATAAAAATAGGGCTTAATTTACAAACAAGTGACCATAAAAGTGCTCATCTGACTTAGACATGCAAATATCCTTATGCACTTAAGTGAGATTTTGCATACATAGCTGGGTATGGGCATAAGCACTGACTTGCACATACACTGGGGCATGTGTGGATTTACATCAGATCCAGGTGTACATAAAAATGTGCACGGATTTTAAAATTTAGCTTCTATGACGTCTAAGCATATTTACTGGAAATCTCAGTGCAGACAAAATTCTAGCATCTATGTCAAACCATGAACTATAGTGTAATATGCTTGAGACCTGCAGGGTTGGAAGGATTTTGTGAATTTTCACCAGTGAACCTTTAGGTAAATGGTATAGTTCAGTTAAAAAAGCAAAAACAAAAAGCCTTCAACCAGTCAGCAGCAAGCTTATTCAGAAAAGGGCAGTCTACTTAAAAATAAAAAATGCTGGCCTCTGATTACTTGAGGCACACAACTGGGCTGTTCTCAAAGCCAGTCAGAATGCAGTAGGTCAATAAAGTCACAGTGAATTTCTACTCTAATAAAAATCTCTTGAATAATATAATCTCCATCAGTCACTTGGTATTACAGAAATAAGATCATTGCCATAAAACATTGTTACAAGATCACTGTTACTAACATTGTACATTAATCAACTTTTTGCCTCTGCATTAGTTTTCGACACGTGCACTTGCATTTCTCTGGCAGCCGTAAACCATTATGCTGTGACAGCCATTCTGTGGAAACTCATGCTTTGCATTAAGGGCCAGAGTTTCTCATGAGCTCAGCACCCAGCAGCTCCCATTGAGAAGAGTGTTGTTGGATGCTGAACTCTCTTGAAAACTGGCCACTTCCTTTAAGTGCCTAATTGGGAGCTGAGCTCTTTTTGAAAATCTGACTCCAATTGAATACTGAGCAGTTCTGAAAATCTAGACTTATAGGTCTGAATGCTGGCATTTTACAGTCATTTTGCTCAGGGGTAAATGACGACACAATATGCAAGATAGTACAGAAACAATCTCTTAAAGGATTACAGGCGGATAATTACTGATCTTCTTGAGCTATAACCAAAGTTTGAGTCTAGCAATTTTCTAATAAATGCACTAGATATTAATATAATTTAAATATTTAGCATAATATATATTCCATTATCTAATACACAGACAAAATGTTTCTTTTTCAGGTATTATTCTCCTGGATATTCTGATGCACTTCTGGAAAGGGTGGAAAATTATCAACCAGTTTTATAAATGCTTCGATTTTTCTGTTAAAATACTCTATTTCTCATCTGTGCTTTTATGATGAGCAGGAAAATACAGTACAGTATAGCCAGAAACTCTTGCTGAATTCTGAAATATTTATCTTTCTTCTATTTTCTGAACTATTAATCACCATTATTAATCCTTTGTCAGTTTGAAGAAATAACCTTGATTTTGTGTGTGTGTGCTGTAGTGTTTGTGTAAGCTCACATTGAAAACAGGGATTCTCAAATGTCAGGAGTTCATGTTTCTCAAAAGTCAGTCATGCTGCAGGGCGCTGAGCACTGCCTGGATGTACTTGGGAGCCCTCTTCAACTCCCACTGCACTCAATGGAAGTTGAAGGAGTTCCGTGTCTCCAGCAAGTTATATTTTGTTCTGTATATAATTAGTTTTTGAAGTTTTGCTCCTCCTTTTCTGATTTTTCTGCCTGATCCTACAAGTAGTTATTACCTCATGTTTCACTAAAACTCCATGTGAGAGCAAGGATTTGTGATGGAGAAACTCTTTGTAGAATCAGTCCTTATTCTTTATTTCCTCACGGAAAGCTAGTGGTTATTTGACCTGGGCCCAGGCTTTGGCTTTCCTAGTATTATAACCATTTCCCTGTTTGTACCTTTATATATAGGTTAGAGCTCCCCAGGTCCGAGAGAATCGTAACTCTTTTTTATTATGCAATCAGTTTTCCTCTGAAACATTTCCAACCCCTCCTTGATGGAAAGCAAGAGACTGACTTATTAGGTACGATTTTGGTCTCTAGGGGCCGAAGTAGGTATAAAATAGACAAGCTGTCAGGGTCTGACAGTGATATGAGGACCAAATCCTACCTTGGCTGGTGCAGTATGGTGGACCAGGAATCCTGGCCAGTGCATCCTCTGCAGGAGTCCTGCTGCTCGAGGCAAGATTTCTCATGATGGGAAGGAGCAGCACACTTCTCTGCCCCTCTGATCAGGAACAGAGTGTGAGCACCCAAACTGAGCTTTCTGTATGTGCATAGGGGCCAGATCCTGTAAGGTCCTGTCAGATTCAGAGCACCTTCAACTCTGGTTGAAAGTACGCAGCCTCTGGCAGAAAGTACTCAACAGCTCACATAATGGGCCCTCAGAACAATGCCTGCAAAGTACTGAGCATCTTCAGTGACTTGAGGGCACTTTACTCCCAGTGACTTGAATGGAACTTGAGGTTGCTCAGCATTTGTCAGGAGACAATTGGCACCCTGCAGAATTGGGTCCAAACAAGTTGGGAGCCTAAAGAGAGTCCCTCATCCGTAGATCATGCCCACACAGGTATGTTGCAAATATTAGCTGTTGGCTTTCTTAGTGCTTGCTGGAGCACTATGGAGAGATTTTTCCCTTACGTGGTGTAATAAGACTCTTAAATTCCTCTTATCCCTCTTGGGTACCAGTGCAGCACAGGACAGGATGTAGCCCTGAGTATTCACTAGCTTACCTGGCATAGTCATTTGTCATTCCCTTTGAACTACTGACAATTTTTCTCCCTCTAGTATGTAGCATTTTCTTTCAAAGAATAATAAAAATTTTGTTTCTGCAATGGAGTGTTCAGTGTGGGGAGAGACGTTTGAAAACCCCGCATTAAAGAGAACACTTTTGACATACAATAAAATGTGTCAAATACATTTTTTTAAGAAAGTAGAAAAATTAAAGTTTATAAAACAGGAATAGTCTCCTCTATTAACCGTGTATAACAGGAGCAATGCTTCAATGTAGTTGGAAATGATTTAGAGTGGGTACCTTTGCCAAATTCTAAATTTCTATTTTCTTTTATTCTTGTCAGCATCATTTTCAGCACTTTACAAAAATATTGATGGGTTATCTTGACTAAAGGACTAATTCTACAAAGGGCTGAGACCCTGCTGTGAGGTGTGAGTGCTATCAGCTTCCACGTTTTTTAGAGGGAGTAGAGGGTGCACAGCACCTTGCAGTATCTAGCCCTAATTGAAGTGGAAGCTGAGAGGCTTCATGAATTCTGATACTGAGATATTCATAGACCATACCAGGTGGGTTCCTTCCTTAGCAACCAAAATATCTGTCTTCCCTAACGGAAAGTAAACACCATATCGTACCCCGACCTCTAAATCTTTTTCTAATTTTCTCACAGTAGACCAGATCATCCAAAGGGATGAACTCCACCTGTGTGGACAAAACAGTGTGAAAGGAGGGTGCTTGGTGCCTGGCAGAAGCTGGCCCAATATTGGGGAATTATTATTTAAGACAATTATACATTTTTTCTTAGGCAAATAAAATCATTTGGCCTCTAACTGCTGTAGTAATAATCCAAGGATCCTGCCAGATCCTGCCACGCTGCTGCAGTCAGGGGAGTGGAGATGCTGCAGAATCTTGTGCTGGTTGCCTGCAGTTGAACAGGCTCCTTCACTGGGTTGCACCCCCTCCACCTGTGGCTGGAGGACTCCCCATGGACACTGATGCTGCACAGGGCAGGATTTAGGTCTTAAACAGCACTAGGACTTATTTGCATTTTCAAATTCACTAGCTCAATGACTACTATTTTTGTAGTGCTTCAATAGCTATGTTTTACAGCACTTCAGCCCTCTCTCTCTTGGCTTAAATAATACCTGTACCTATGTTAATGTTTATAGCCACTACTATGGCAACTGTCGAGTGGTATCTTTTGTCTCAGTTCCATGTAATAAAATATAGATGTTTGCATTTTAATTCACTGTAGAAATCCTGTTTTTGTACTGATTTAATGGCATCATCTCCCAAACAAACTCATGGAAGTTGGCTTGATGAACAGGCCGATTGTGCAAGGGTCAACTGCTGCCTCAGTTTACCTCTGGAGCAGTGCTTCTATATCTCCCTCTGAAATCTCATGCACCTATGTATGTATTTCAAATATAATTCCAACTTGTGGGGACTGGTTTATTAACCCATAACACAAAATAAATATAAGCTGTCCCTTTTACCCTTCCAGGCACAAGTAGTTACGTTCCTTTAAACTCACAGCTCCTTTAGCCCTTCTTTGGGCTCAGGTAATTCTTTGCCCTACTATCAGGGCTTCTCAGTTCAAGTCCTTGTGGCTCTTAGTTGAAGGTTCTTCACAGCTCTCCTCCTAGGGGCTGCGATTGAATCCTGGCAGGCTTCCCCCAGGCTCCCACAATCCTGGCTTTACCACAGGAGAGCCTTGCAGGATGGTCTGGTACAAAGAACCCAGACTGGGCTCACCTTTCCATTTGAGCAGGCTTCTGCTTACTGGAAGCACTGCTTCTGCAGTTGTCATGTGACTCAGCACAGGCTAGGGCCTTGAAACATTGCAGGGATGTTCAGAACTTTAATCCTTTTAGCAGCAGGATTGACTTGTCCACAAAAATTACCTTTTTCATCTAGCCACTCTGGGATCAATAGGATCCGCAAAGGGAAGCATACACAGATAAACTCTACTCTCACACATATGATTCAAGGCAGATTTCAACCAATTCAGAGAAATAGTAGACAAGGTCCAATGGAAAGACCAATTAGGAAGAACAGAAGTTGAAGGGAGCTGGTAGTTCTTAAAAGATGTAATAACAGAGGCTCAAAATCACGCTATTCTGACACAGAGGAAAGATAAGAAGAGCCATAGGAGGCCAATGTGGCTGCACAAGCTGCTTTTTAACTATCTAAAAACCAAAAGGGATACATACAGGAAATGGAAGGAGGGGCATGTCACCAAGGAAGTATACATGGGAATATCATGAGCGTTTAGGGACAAAATCAGGAAAGCCAAGGCAATGAATGAGTTACAGCAGGCAAGAAATGTTAGAGACAACAAGATGGGGTTCTTCAAATATGTCAGACAAAAAAGATCAAGGATGGTGTGGGTCCCGCTGCTCAATGGTGAAGGTGAGCTAGTAACAGAAGATGATAGGAAGGCAGAGCTGCTCAATGCCTACTTTGCTTCAGTCTTCTCAGAAAAAATAATGTGACCAGAGGGCTAGCGAAGTTACCATAGACAATAAAGGGGAAGGGATGCAGATCAGGATAAGTAAAGAACACGTCAGAGATCTTCTGACTAATTTGAATGAATTCAAATCACCGGGGCCTAATGCTATTCATGGTTACTGAAGGAATTAGCTGAATAAACCTCGGAGCCACTGGCAATAATATTTACAAACTCATGGAGGACAGGATTGATCCTGGAATACTGGAGAAGGGCTAACGTAGAGTCCATCTTTAAAAAGGGGATAAAGGAGGAGCCTGGGAACTATAGACTAGTCAGCCTGACTTTGATACCTGGAAAGGTACTAGAGCAATGTATAAAACATTCGATTTGTGGATACCTGGAGGATGAAGGGGTGATCACTAGCAGCCACCATGGATTTACCAAGAACAAATCATGACAAATTGCTTGATTTCCTTCTTTGATAGGGTAACTGATTTGGTGGGTAGGGGGAATGCGGTGGACATAATATACCTGCACTTCAGCAAGATTTGTGACACAGTCGCACATAACATTCTGATAAGCTGGAGAAATGTGGGCTCCGCAGAACTACCATTAAGTGGATGCATAATTGGTTAAACAACCGCGAACAAAGAGTAACTATTAATGGAATGATGTCGGATTGGAGAGAGGTCTCAAACTTCCATGGGGATCTGTTCTGGATCTGGTGGTGTTTCATATCTTTATTAATGACCTGGATGTAGGAATAGAGATCATACTGATCAAGTTTGCAGATGACACAAAGCTAGGGGAGATGTTGTTGTGACGTTATTGACATAAACTGGGACCATATAGATCATTGTTGCAACCAAGGTTCTGTAGTGGCACCCAAATCTTGTATAAAGGGGGTCAAATGGGGTGTC